TTTCACTTAATAGAATGTATGTAGTTTTTCTATTTCCTCTAATCCTTACCTTGCACTTCTACGTTAAGTGATGGAGGTCATAATAAATATTTACAAGTTCATTTTCAATCTCTGCTATTGCGGTGCATTGCCAACTCTTATCTAACTTTTTCGTATAATTCTCGTATATATTTGCGAACCGCTATTGATCTACTCGCTTTAACTCTTATAGGAATGGCGTCGCAAACTCAAGGAATTCAACAGCTGTTAGCTGCTGAGAAGAGAGCTGCCGAAAAGATCAACGATGCTAGGAAGAGAAAATTCCAGCGCATGAAGCAAGCCAAGCAAGAAGCTCAAGCTGAAGTAGAGAAATACCGTCAGGTAACAGTCATCCTTTTTGAATCTCATCGATTGTAGGGAACAGGTCATCATAAGGGGCTCCGCTGAAATGCAAGCTGTGGTTCTATTGGGTAGTTTTAGAAGTAACGGCTTTTTTTTCAACTTAGTGTACAACGGCCTCACTAAAGTGAATGCCACGGCAGAACCTACATTAATCGGAACAAGCGACGACGTCTAACAGGGAGATCGGGTCCCTCAGGTGACCAAACTATCGCGTCGACTAGGAAATTGTTTATCGAACGGCATTGAACCCATTGTAAAATTTTTTTTCCCACAGAAGGTTTTGTTATAAAATAACGCTAGCACTTGTGGGCCAACCCGATAGCTTCAAAGCAGGGACCGCGTTGCCCGAGCTGCAGAAAGCAAACCCTGCTCAGAAGTGACGCGGTCTCCAATCGCAGGGAGTTCACTTCATTTGCCCTTTTCGAGAGTGCTTGATAAAAGCACCGGAATTCTGCTACGACATCGGCAGTCCGCACCCGTACTTCTATGTGGTGTTAGGATTTTGTTTAACCACCAGTCTGGCTGACGCGCACTATGCGCGCATTGTTAAACCTATAGTACCGATAAGGATTTCTGTGCTGAGCACTAAAACTTAGCCTAATTCCCACGTTTCGAAAACGGCCCATTTTTTCATGCTTTTCCCTTTTAATGAACATTTGCCAATGTTTGGTGCTTATCATATTTCTAAAAGCACCATTCGTTGGAAATAGGATAGCGGTTGGACTAATTTCGATGATAAAAATATCGAAATCATAGCGGGTCTTATCATTCCTTACTGCCCATCAACTCCAGACATCCTGTTTTCGGTGAATTAGAGCGTTTAGGGCTGGTGGAAGGGATTCCACGCTCAATGACTCTTTATAGTTTTTGGCTGATGGATAAGAACATCCTTGTTCTTCTAAAGGGATTTGCTCATTGAATTCTTTAGCACACGAATCATAGTGAAGAGCTACGCTGTATTAGAAGCCCTTGTTGGGTTATCTTATCAGCTGTTATCATTTTCTGCCACCCAAAATGTCCCCATCCTGCCCCTATCTTACTTCCTGGAACCAACGTCCCATTGTTGCTGTGGCCGGTGCTATGCATTTTCCGACTCTCCCCTTCTAAGGTCCGGTATTGTATCTTAATAACTGCTGATATCACGTCGTCAACAATACATAATGGTTGCATCCTGCCCCGCCTGTCTTGGTTCTTGAGATAAACTACCCGTCTTGTGTGGCCCGCTCTATGAAGATTGGTGGCACCTCCCTCCTAAAGGTCAGTAAGGTATATATCAGCTGGATATCCACGTGCTCTCCACCCACAATAATGTCACCTGCACCCTACCCTATGGTACTTATTGGAGCATGTTAACGTTCTAAGGACCTTGCTGTGGCGCGGCGTTATAAACTTGATCACTCATCCATTTCTAAGGGCTGTCTTATCTTACCGTCAGCTCTTATCGAAATTCCTGCCTCCGCTCCCAATAGTGTTCGCTGCACCGACGTCCTACATCACTGTAGTGCGCTAACACACGCCATGCGCTGGTATTTGAAGGGAAGTTTATGATTTCCGCACACACAAACGGCACCATACACACACAAACACACGCACACACACACAATAGGACACATCTACCACACACACACACTCAACAGCCAACAGACAAGCTTAGCGGATTATATATATATGTAGGATCGTTATAATAGAGGTGTGGTCTCAATCAATCGTGCACTCTCTCGCCACCCCGTCGTTTGTTTCCGTTTTCTACTATTAGTACCAGCACCGGTCTTATTCAGAGCCTTTTCTGCGTGTTTTTTTTCTCTCTTCCCATTGCTGAGTTTTTCAACACTTCCATGTTGCTATTTGAATCCGAGTCCCCATGAATAATAATAGCGAACTCCGTTTATAAGCTCACCCCTAAACCTTTCGTCAACGACTTATGGCCATTAAAAGCTTTATTATCTTCCATCGAGGGCCTAGTATTGTGAGAAGTACCTAATGAACTGAAGGACTTTTTAGGAGCGCGAGCTTGAATTCAAAAAGTACGAGCAGACTTACCTTGGAACTAAAGAGGACACTGAAAGCAAAATCCGTCGTGATACTGAGAATGAGATCGAAGCTATGAAGAGAAATGTAGCTGCAAATAAGCAGCAGGTTAGTTCCCCTTAGCTCGCTGCGATGATTTTCCTACAAGTGCCAAAGTAATTTCCAGGTTATTGTTCGTCTGCTACAGCTGGTCTGTGATATTAAACCAGAATTGCATCATAATCTTATTCTTCAGAAGAAGCTTCATGGCCAATTCTCTTAATTTTTCCATCCTACTCCGTATGAAGAATTTTACTGAATTCAAACTGTCAGACTGTTCACCCGGAAAACCCACTTTGAGACACATTCCTTGGTTCCCTATACTTATTTGTGATAGGGTCTTTCTTTGTCAAGCACCAATCTGCGTACTTATGTATATCTGCTAAGTGACTCGATGAATTGGTAATCATGTATTGCCCGTTTTTTAACTGCAATAGTCATTTATCACATCTAGTTATGAAAGAATAGTGAATAAAGATTGCTATTTGATGTATTCTCTCAGTGTTTCGGTTCTTTCCCTCTGGGTACCTTGTGTCCAGGATTGATGTCGTCAACTGCTTTTCGAAATCGGTTAAATTGTTGTCATTATCGAAATCGATAGTGCGTTTGAAAGTACCGAGTAGTTGGTCAGTCTTCTAAAGTGTGTGGCAGCAAGCCACTGGTTGGTGCCGTTAAGGGAATAGCACCCCTCAAGGACTTCTCCATATGTTTCCAATGTAGTCGGTCACTATTACTCCCAAACGAACTACCTTTTGCTTGTGTTGTTGAATGTTTAAGGGCACTCGTCGTAGAAAATGGCGAGCTATTCCACTGAACTTCTAGTGACAGGGTGGTAATAAACACATCAGTGAAGAAACAGTAAAGAACCCCATTATGTGTCAGCCTTACACATGCATGAGATGAAGAAAGGGTATGGTCTAACGAGTTTTCGCTTATTGGTTCCTATTTCTCCTCAATACCTCGCTCTCGCCAACCTTTCGAAATAGGAGAAAGCTGGTAGCGGAGCAACCGTACGACCAAGAGGTACCCAGAAAGCGTAGACTTGATCAGTGGGTGGGACCGTGGCTTATTCGCGAGCTGTTCACGCTTTCATTACGTATTTTTGTAATATCTAC